GCTGTAGTTGCTCACTGAAATGACAGAGACAAGAGCCACAATGGTCTCTCCCCACACCCCCACAGAAGGAGCTCCTGCTCACCCCTTGAAGGTCAGCGGGTCCATGGAGCTTGTACTGGACCCAGCTGGCAAAGCGACTCTGGAGCCACTCCCCTGTCCAGGAGCAAGTGTGTGAGGGGAAGGAGGGACACAGATGAGACTGCAGCTTTCAGCCTTCGAAGGGCATGTGGCCCTCACCCCACCACGGCTGTCCCCAACCCCGTGAAGAGTTCAAAGTTCCTACCTTTGACTTTAGAGAAGCCGGACAAAGGAAATGGCTGGGAGGTGACAGTGAGATTTGTGACAGGGCTGGAGAGTTGTGTGTGGGTTTCGGCTGTCCTTGGATGCCTGTGGGTCTCCGGCCCATGGCTGGAAGATCTTGGGAGGGTAGGACTCACCCAGGCTGGACCTGCTGCCATAGAGGCCATCACCACCCTCGGCGACACTGCTGAGAAAGCGGTCGCTGAAGTCCATCGCTTTGCTGAGGTGCAGGTTCTGGCCAGGGGGAAATCCAAGACAGGCTGAAGAGGTGGCTGTCTCCCAGGAGGAAGAGGCCTCCTGCCGACCTGGCCCTTGCCGTAGGGGCTCGGCCTGGTCACCTTTCCTCCTTCTCCTCCTTCCCTGGGCTGTGTGGCCCTTTGGCTCCACCTCAGCTCATCAGCCACCCTCCTTCTTGGCACTGTGACAACCACGGCCCCTCTCTAGTATGGGAGCCTGACAGGCTTCTGTTGTCAGCCCACACCTAAGGGGCTGTGTCCCCTCCTGGGGCTGCAGCAGTGTCCTGGACTCAAGACTGGCATGCAGGGGGCTCTACGGCCTCAGTGAGATTTCTGGTCCTGTCACCCACTAGGTTAGCGACTTAGGAGGAAGCAAGTTCCTTAACTCCTCCATGCCTCAGTTTCTCCCGTTACGTGGCCTCGCCTATGGCTATAATTCTAAAGCTGTACTTAGATGCATTTTCCTCCTATAGAAGCATTTCCACTACTTGCTAGTTCAGTCCATTCACACAGATGAGTAACTTCTGAGGCTCCCCTTACCTTGTTGGAGACTTGAATATAATTCAGCCTGATGCTAACTTCACAGCCGTCTTCGTGGACAGTGGCAGAGAGGAGCTTTGAAGAGAATTTTGAAGAGAATTCACAACTGTGGGTACTTGGACTCACTATCTCACACAATAGGCCAGAAGTTCTGAGATGTTATGTTTCCGTTTTCATCCAATTTCTTTTCTTCCTTTCTTCATATCATTTGTAATACAGACTTTTCTTTTTTTCTTTTTCATGGTACTGGGAATTGAACCTCGGGAGTACTGAGCTACATCTCCAGCCCTTTTGATTTTTAATCAAAAAGATTTTTAACACAGAAAAAGAGGGGATTAAATATCCAGCAGGATAAATAGAAAACATTACAGGCCAGCCTGAACTACACAGTGAGACCCTGTCTCAAAAGAAGAAGATGAACAGAAAACAAAGAGCAAGCCCAGCAATCCTAGCTGCTGGGGAGGCAGGAGTCAGAGGATCTCAGGTTCGAGTCCAGCATAGGCAACTTAGTGAGATCCTATTTCAAGTCAAATAAAAATTTTAGAAAAGGGCTGGAGATGTAGCTCAGTAGTAGAGCACTTGCCTAGCATGCACAAGGCCCTGGGATCAGTCCTCCATACG